CACACACACACACACACACACACACACACACACACACACACACACACACACACAAACCTTCACATATAAACAGTATGAACTCATCATGTGTTCGCTCTCCAACTCCTCTCCGCAAATCCTTCTTGTCGATCCGCTTCTAGCCTCAAACACAAGTACACACAAGTGTGCGTATGCAGACACACACGCAAACACTCTCAATCTCTGTCCCCCACTGAGACCTTTCTGCACTGTGTCCGCCGAGGCTCTCCTTTCATTTCACTCCTGCCTGTCAAAATTTCCCTCTCTGCCTCGCCACCCTGCTAAACGCTCTCCGCCAATCAATTTTTAATAATGCCAATCGCCACGCTGCCAGGAGGAATGGAAGGAGAGGAGAGGATGGAGAAAGTCAACGTTGAAAGGCAAAAAAAAAAAAAAAAAGAAACAGGTTGAGCTCCTTTGTGTGATGCCAAATCTGTTTAGTAAAAATACACACACACACACACAAAACGCGGTTAAAAATATTCCTTTGAGTTTGCTGATAGAGCGGTCATCTTTAAAAAACTGCGAGGGTCTCGGGTGAGGGGCAAAAGATGGGAAAATAAAAAATAAAGAAAAAGCCCTCTGAGCGTGAGGTTGCTTTTTAACGCTCGGACCCTTCGCCTCTCTCTGCTGCTGTTTCTGCTGCTCGTATTAAATCCCATCATTCTGCACAACACTTATTTAAAACGCTCCCTCCTCTCCCTCATCTCCTCCCTCTCTTTGACAGCCAAGAGAACCCTACTAATGTTTTTAATGCGCTGTGATGCATTATTTATCAGACTGACTGTTGATATAGGAAAAGGACGAGTGGGGATAAAGAAAACAGGAGAAAAAAGGAGCTAAAGACGAGTAAAAGTTGGAAGAAAAGAAGTGAAAAGGGTAAATCCAACTAAAGGGATTAAAAAAACACCAAAAACATGTTAAAAGAAGGTGAGGCAGGTGTTTGAGGAGAGAGGAATGTGGTGATAAAAAAGAAGGGGGGAAGGAATGAGGAAAAGAGGGCATGGAGGGAGATGAGGACATAGATCAGCGTACGGTACAAGGTCAGCTCAGTGCTCCCAGGGGGCCTATAAACCTGCATACATATGAGCACTTTTACCGTGACCCATACAAATGGTATAGCCTCAGTCTGACCTAATTGTGTTCCTTCGCTGTTGGTTTTTATTTGCAACTGCAGATTTGAACCTGCAGTAAATCACACGACCCAAACCCTGTTCGTTTAATTCCCCCCCCCCCCTCTGCGCTCTTATTCAAGGATGCAGAGAAGCGAAAACAAAATAACAAAAATCGAATTGTATGATAAGAGCTCAGAACGCTAACATCCTTTAATTTTTTTGTCGCTGCCAGTTGAGCACCAAAAAAAGCCCACTAATAAACTTTTAAATACTGCTCAAAATGATGTGATGTGGTTAAACCATTATTTTCTTTTGTCACTGGAACCTGAGTGCTGTTTCATGGGCTCTCTATCAGTGGCTTTCCATTATCCCGAACCCATAACTGCTTCAAGGTCAGTTTTATCATCCTGCTCATAATCGGGTGAGTTAGCACCAGTCCAGTGGACAGCCGATCCCAGAACAGTTGTTAAAAGCAGACGCTGACTCGCTCGGATAGCTCCCCTAGGATTGTCTGTGGTGGTGCGAGCCAAAGCCAGATGGCAGCGTTGAGCTGGAGAGGCTCTGTGGTCTGATGTGGGAGGGGAAGCTCCTGGACACAAAATAGCACCGAGAGGCATACATTTATACAAAAAGCATAAATACGTATGCAAAGCAGTGCGCACGCAAATGAGCGTGAACCGGGTGAGCTGACACAACCAGACATGGCCGCTTTAACACATAAACTGGGCTCATGCACAAACATACAGCATCACAAATAAGCCTGCAGAAAGTGAGGCATGGAAGCCTACAACAGGAAACAAAATAAGCACACACACACACACACACACACATGCACACACGGTGCATATGTAAATGGAACCTTGAGATTCAACATGTGCACTGCGTTAGCGGATTCATTTTGCAGCAGAAACACCTAATTCCTCGCCTACTTTTTCACCCTTAGCATTTGCAAATCTGGTCAGCTTTTCATCCCACGCCTTTAAAAAAAAAAGAAAGAAAACACGAGCAAATTGAGACGCGGACTCTCGTGCGTGCACATTAAGCTCCACTGGGGCTGAAAGTCCAGCTCAGCAGCCCTAGTGTTACAGTAGTTTTGGTTGTTGTACCACTGAGTCATGAGCTCGAGAAGAACTGCAGCTACATCAAGACACGAGGGCGCACACACACTCGCACACACACACTCCTCTGTTGATTATGTAACTCAATGACAGCACTCTCTCTGCTTCGGTGCTGCCATAGATCCCCTGTTAACTAGAGGCTGAGGGATTACTTGGTCTGCGTGCAGTTTGGGCTGTACCAAACTGGTGAGTCATTCTTCTGAATCAGTCTGGCTCAGCCCGAGTGTCTTTGCCCACGAGTCTGCAGTTCGCCTTATCGGATTTAACCTTGATGTGGGACAAAAGTGCAGCCTTTGATGCTGCTTATTGTATTGATTTCACTGCACGAAAGCCCGAAAAAATTAAGTTACGAAAACATTGTTACAGTGACAACTCTATGGGGTTTCAGCCTGATGAATTTCTCTACACTGCCTTGTTATGTCAAACGTGCTTCAAATACGGTTTATCAAGGCAGTCCGAGGGTTTTCGAGCTGCTCGCACACACTGCATAACACACACACACACACACACACACACACACACACACACACACACACACACACACACACACACACACACACACACACACACACACACACACAAAGCTACCACCCACTTTCATCCACACAGGGCTGTCATTTAATCAGCAGTTTATTTGGTTGATGCAAATGTGTGACACGAGTCAAGCCAGGTTTGCTTTGTCGCGAGCAGCTTTTCACAGGTGTTTGACAGCGGAGGGGACCTATTTTCTCTTTGAGCGTGACTAGGCATTTCTGTGCATGCATATGTGTGTGTGTGTGTGTGTGTGTGTGTGTGTGTGTGTGTGTGTGTGTGTGTGTGTGCATCAACGCATATGATGAAACTCAAACACGGGAGCTTGCAGGCTGAGCTGGCCAGAAAAGAGCTCTGTTTACATAATGTGTTCTGAATACTGGAGGGTCCGGCACAGGCTGCGATGTCAGCCCTTGTCGAGGTGCTTTGCATCGCGGAGCGGGACAGATAATGGTGAGGCTGATGTACACAGGCAGCAGGGGGGGTTGGGACACAAAGGAGGCAGAAGATGGAAAGAAGTGGCGTACAGTACCTCCTCGACTCTCACTGTCTGCTGGCTTCACCTGGATCGGTCTATTCATCTGTGACAGTTAGAAAAAGAGAACAAAGAAAAGAAAAAGAGAAAGAGACCAGTTAGCATCATGTAATGGCACATGCTCTGACCCTCCTATAAAACATTTTTTTCTTTCTTTTTTCTTTTTTTTTAAGAGTCACTCAGCCAAATTACAGTTAAAGTGAATTGAAACTCTCCAAAGCTGCAGCACTTATGGCCAATGGGGGAATAGCTGGTTTGGAAATATCATTTGATCTGAGATGAAAGCAGAGGGAAAGAGGGGGATAAGCAAAGGGAGAGAAAGACTGAGAGAGGGAGGATGGAGGGAGAGGTAACTGTGGCTCAACGGAGCTACATGTGCACCAGTAGAGTTCAGTGCACGTGGACTTAAAGTTGTGTTCTTACACACACACACACACACACACACACACACACACACACACACNTGAATAAACTCACTTACTTTGTGTTGTCAGGCCTTATAAATAGAAATGAAAGCATAAAGGACATTTACCAAAAATAAAACCTTTTAGCCTAAACTGTTTCACAAAAACAGTTTTGTGAACCAGTTAAAAGCAATTATTATCTTACCTTTGTTAGCTCTTTGAATTGTCTTAATATAGAAAAATAGAATTTTATTCTAACTTAATTGATAAGCTAATGTCTTGTCAGAACAACACAAAAGCTAAAAGTGGATTTTAAATAACTCCAAACAAAAGATTAGAAGTAAATACAAATGAATGCATTACACAGTTTTTACATTCAGTGATTTCTATGAGCAACAGCAAGATATTGCACTGTCCTTGCAGACAGTATTTCCTGCAGAAATATAACAGTTTTTCTGATGGAATGATTTGTTTACATAAACCATTGTGAAATGTTTGGGATTTCAAGTATTTTCATATAGTATCATCCCACTTTTCTCTAGTTCTCGCTTGGATTCATCATTAGCTCAACAGTCTAGTCAGAACTAAACTCTGTTCCTCCAAAATGAGGTTGTGCAGACAGCTATCTGCAACAGCTAAAATATTGTTTACAGCGTTTCCATAAAAAAAACCCAACTGTAAAAATATCTGAAGACGACTTCCATGAACACAAAAATGGCAGCCTTCTCTAGAAGAAGAATTGTTTTGATTGCATGAATAAGGGGCAGCACGGTGGAGCAGTGGTTAAATCTGCCACACTTTTAGGAGGAGTTCAAATGTTCTCTCCATCAGGGTTTCCTTTAGGTTCAGTGGTTCTTAACCTGGCTGAGCTGGTCTCAGGGGTTCGGTGGAGCCTCTGCTGCAGAGGTAAAGACACAGTTGTGTAAAGTTGTGATGACACGCCCCGCTTGTCCATCACTTGCTGCAGAGGATCACATGAGATTGCTTGGCCAATCAGTGCTGGCCCCAAAAAATTATTTTGTGGATTCAAAATGACAAAAAAACAGATTAACTTTAAAATAAAAAGTTATGAAAAAATGTTAAATTGTTAAAAAAAATCCTAATTTATTAGTTTTTTTTAGTAAAATGATAACAAAATATTTTTTGGGGGGCTGAAATTTTATATGGGGCCAAAATATTTTTTGGGGGGCCAGAATAAAGTCATACTGTAATTTGTTGTGAGTTCATGCACTGTGTTGGTTTTGTTCTTTGAGCAAGGTGATGTTCATGCATGGTTCATTTTATACACTAGTAAAAAACATATACCTATACATATACAGTACCTGGAGTCCAGGTGCTTCAGTTTTCTCTCACAGACCTAAAACATGCATCCTACTCAAAACTGTTACCACTCTATGTGTGGGTGAGAGAGTGAATGGTTATCTTTGCTCTATATGTGCCCCTTACAGCCTGTCCGTGTCTCCGACTGTCCCACAGTGACTGATGAACATCGGACCAGCTCCCTGAGAAAGAAGAGGTGTAACCCTCCCCCCCACCACAAAAAAAAAAAAAAAAGAAAAAAGAAAAGCTGTTGAGGTGGATCAATATTTACTTAACTAAATCCTTAAAAAGCACCACAAACAAAACTAATCTGGGCAACAGATGTTTCAACAGAAGCTGACAAAGCAGCAGAGCTAAGGTTTTAAAAAGAACCAAAGGATAAAAACAAAGTTTATAGCTTCTGCTACAATCTACAAATATCTTTGTTTGCAATCTTATTTTCTTTCATAAAAAATACATGATGATTCAAATATCAAGCCTACTGTGTTTCCTGTCACTATTTCACACTACTGATGATTTAAAAAAATTACTTGGTTTTTGTTTTCAGCCACAAACACACAGCAGCCACGCTGCAATAGTCTATGAAATACCTGAAGTGCAGTGTGATTTGACGCTGTCCAAAGCCCTGTTTGACAAGAACTTTAAGGTTTGACCATAAATTGATAAATGGCTAAATCCCACCTGGATTCCCCTCAGGTTTTATCTCCACTAATGCCTGCACATGGCAGCAGGGTATTTTTCTACCTTCCCTCACCGTGCACTTTTTCATCCTGACATATGGCCAAACATTAAACCTTTCTGGTGGTGTGAAACACGCCACACAGAGATCAGTGTCTGTGTGTGAGGTTAAAGAGGGCCATAAAGCAAAACATCCCAATCTCTTTCTCTTTGTTGCATTTCTCTCTCTC